TGTTGTTATGTGCCGTCGAGTCGGCCCCGACTCATAGCGACCCCTCCTTGGGTTTCCGAGGCAGTATCACTGCAGAAGTAGGATTGCCCAACCTTTTGCATGAATTCCCTTTATTATGTTGAGGAATGTCCCTTCTATTCCTATTTTGCTGAGAGTTTTGATCAGGAATGAGTGTTGGATTTTATCAAATAAGGCCAAACTTCTTAATATGTTACACACATCCTTTTACAATGAGGCAACACTTTTATTTTCAACCTCATATGTAGTCACTTCCCCACGTATACAATACACACCAGCCATACTTGTTTCTAGCTGTTCTCCCATATATTCTTCAGTGTCTTTGTTTATGCCCTTTCTGTTCCTTTCTACCTGGTGAAGTCTTCACCATTCTTCAAAGTCTAGGTCAAATTCCACTCTCTAAATAGAGTATTTCCAGACCCCATGTATGAGAAAAGACTTAATGTTCTCATCTTTTGTTTATACCTCCATTGAACCATAGTCTGACATTTTAAAGAATTGTTTGTGGGCATTTATTTCTTCTCTATCATACTGGAGTACGGCCTATATTTCTGTCACCTAGAAGCAAAGCCTTAACAGTGGATTATGTTGAATGAATGATTCATGCATACATTAGTGAATAAACTAACTGAAAGTCCCGGCTATGAATACTGAAGGCTGCAGTCAGGCAAAGGCCCATCCGAGGATATACGAGGGTGGTCTGACACAGAGATCAGAGGAAAAACAAGATATAACAATAGGGATTTAGCAAGTATTTAGGAAGATAAATCATTCATTCAACTAGTGTTTAAATTGAGCATCTGTCCTTAAGGAAGTAATTCTCTGCACAGAGAAGACGAATATCCTCTTAGTTTCATAGTTCAGGTAGTTTTTATAACAGGGTATCTATATGATGTGTTTTTGGTCTCTGATAATTTATCTAAGTTTCCCTTCCTTCTCAATAGCCCGGAAGCTGAAGAAACTTGGTAACCTGAAACTACAGGAAGAAGGGGAGGCTTCCAGTGCCACCAGCCCCACTGAAGAGCCAACTCAGAAGCTGCCAGTGTCACATATTGAAGGCTATGAGTGTCAGCCCATCTTTCTGAATGTCCTAGAAGCCATTGAACCAGGCGTTGTGTGTGCTGGACATGACAACAACCAGCCCGACTCCTTTGCAGCCCTGCTCTCTAGCCTCAATGAATTGGGCGAGAGACAGCTTGTACATGTGGTCAAGTGGGCCAAGGCCTTGCCTGGTAAGAAAGGGGAAAGTAGGGACATGGTATAAGGGAGACAATATGTAGAGGATATTGCTACAGGCCAGGCACCATGCCCAGTGTTTTTCTCCTCATTAACCCATGTAATCCTCACTATAACCCTAAAGGGGAAGGATTAGTATCATCACTACTTTACATATAAGGGAACTGAGACTCAGGAAACAAGAAGAAAGACAGAATTATACAGTGTCCCATCTGCCTCACATGTACAGACAGCTATCATGCATCCAGGTTCAACCCATAAACAAGGTCAGCAATTTTCCCTATAATCACATAGACATACTCACATATTTTTTTTTTTTGTATGCTCTTCTAAATGTGCACACACAAGTTCACCTCAAAGATAGTCTTGAGCCTGACTGTCATTCTATCTTCAGTGTTACCTTCAGGATCTGTACCATGGAAAGTTTTATAATAAAGTATAGTAGAAAAACCATGGAGTTGAGAGTCAAAACACTTGAGTTCTAATTTTAGCTCGATGGTAAATCATTGTGTGATCCCTGAGCAGATATCTTCTCATTATGGATCTCAATTTCTCCATCTGTATAATGTGGGAAGGATGGTTTGAACTAAATTAATGGTTTTCAAATTTTGCTTCAAGGAATGCTTAACGCTCTTTAAAATCCCTTAGTAGTCAGTGGGAGGAAATGTTGGGAAACAGTGAAGTAATTGTTGTTTTGTGCCATTGAGTTGATTCCCACTCATGGTGACCCTACAGGACAGAGTAGAGCTGTACCATAGGTTTTCCAAGGCTGTAATCTTTACAGGAGCAGATCACCAGCTCTTTTCACACGGGGAGCTGCTGGTGTGTTCAAACCACCAACTTTTCAATTACCAGCCCAGCAGTTAACCAGGGCTCCTTTGGTGAAAAAATTACCAAATTTTTACTAACTTCTGCTTGGATACCTCCAGTAATGGAGAACTCCCTTTTATCCCTAGGCCATCAGTTCTTTGAACAGTTCTGATTATTAAAATACTAGTGCTTGAAGAAGCCTCAGAAATGCTCTGTCCAATGATTCAAAAACTTTAAAAGTTAGATTTTTTTCCTCAAAAGTCTTATTTGCAGATACAAGTAACTGTTGCTGTTATATTTGCAGCCAGAGTGTCTGGCTCAGTGCCCCCCTCACTACCTCAGGGAAGTACCAGTCCTTCCTTGCAGAATCATGAGGCCCCAAGGAACACAGTTTGAAAAAGAGTGATGCATATGATCTTTAAGCATTCTGCTAATCGTGAAATTCCAGGATTCAAAAGTTCATTTGAAACATCAAAAACCACACCTCCTGTTTTGGAATCCATGATTAATCTTCCTTCTTATAATAACTACCATTCTTAGGGAAATTTTTAGTAAGTAAGGCAGTTTCATATGTATATCCTGATTTGATCCACATAAGAATCATGTAAAGTAGCGATTCTTTTCCCTGTTTTACAGATGAAGACACTGAAGCTCTGAGAAGTTATTTGATTGGATTACAGTTGCACAGCCTGAAAGTAGCAGGGCTAGAACTTGAGCCCAGGTGCCCTCCTGACTCCAGATCCCCTCCTCATTTAATTCTACCGTGTAGTCTATGTAATGCCCCTGTAGTTCTGGAGCCCTGGGCTTGACAATGAGGGTCCAAGGCCTCATAAAAGGCCACTTAGGTCAAATGGTGGACTTTCTGCCTTTGAGGACATTGTATTTTGGCTGTGAATCCCCTATTTTGTCTTTTTAACTCACAAGGCCCAGTCACGCCACCAGACCTTACACAACACCTTGCCAGTTTAGGAAGCTGAGGTAAACTGGCCAACATTGGGAAGGAAGCCCAAGGACTCTGGCTGCACATGCACTGCCCCAAAATAGAGGGTTATTACAGGGAGGGAAAAATACAGAAAAGTAAAAAGGGAAAGTTTCTTTAGTTCTTATCACTTACTCATTTGAGTGTTTTGATATCTTGTTTGTAACAGAGCTTCAGTTTAATCTTTCTAACCAATTTCCAAACACTTTACTTGTCCCCCTTTATAAGTTACAGAGCCTTTTCACATATATATGATTCCACCTAATCCTCACCAGAGGAGTCCCGGCTATAGTTGTTATAAGGTGCCCTTGAGTAGGTTCTGACTCAGCCACCCTATGTACAACAAAATGAAACACTGCCTGCTCCTGCACCATCCTCATAATAGTTTCTATGTTTGGACTCATTGCTGCATCCAGACTCATTGCTGCATCCACTGTGTCAGTACATCTCATTAAGGATCTTCCTCTTTTTCACTGACCTCTACTTTACCACACATGGAATCCTTCTCCAGGGGCTGATCCCTCCTGATAATGTGGCCAAAGTATGTGAAATAGAGTCTTGCCATCCTCACTTCTAAGGATCATTCTGGTTGTACCTCTTTTAAGACAGATTTGTTCGTTTTTCTGGCAGTCCATGGTATGTTCAATATTCTTCACCAATACCGTAATTCAAAAACATCAATTCTTCTTTGGTCTTCCTTATTCATTGACCAAATTTCACATGCATATAAGGCAATTGAAAGAACTGTGGCTTGAGTCAGACTTAGCTTAGTCTTCAAGGTGAAATCTTTGCTTTTGAACACTCTAAAGAGGTCTTTTAAGGAAGGTTTGCCCAATGCAATGCATCTTTTAATTTCTTGACTGCTGCTTCCATAGGTGTTGATTGTATATCCAAATAAAGTGAAAACTTAGACAGCTTCAGTATATTCTCCATTTATCTTGATGTTGCTGATTGGTCCAGTTGTGAGGATTTGCATTTTCTTTATGTTGATTTGTAATCCATATTGAAGCCTTTGCTCTTCATCAGTAAGTCCTTCAAGTCATCTTCACTTTCAGCAAGCAAGCTTGTGTCATCTGTATATCACAGGTTGTTAATGAGTCTTCCTCCAATCCTGCTGCCATGTTCTTCTTCATATAGCCCAGTTTCTCAGATTATTTGCTCAGCATACAGATTGAATAATTATGGTGAAAATATACCACTGTAGCACACACTTTTCCTGATTTTAAACCATGCTGTATCCCCTTGTTCTGTTTCAAAAACTACTTCTTGGTCTGTATACAGGTTCTATAGGAGCACAATTAAGTGTTCTGGAATTCCCATTCTTCACAATGTTATCCATAATTTGTTATGATCTACACAGTCAAATGCATTTGTAGAGTAAACAAAATACAGGTAAATATCTTTCTGCTATTCTCTGCTTTCACCCAACTAATTATCTTCAGCAAAATTTTACTTTTATGTGATATTAATGATATTGTTCAATAATTTCCCTGCTATGTTGGGTCACCTTTCTTTGGAATGGGTACAAATATGAATCTCTTCCAGGCAGTTGGCCAGGTAGCTGTCTTCCAAATTTCTTGGCATAAATGAGTGACCATTTCCAGCATTACATCCTTTTGTTGCAACATCATTACTTGGTATTTCATCAATTCCTGGAGCTTTTTTTTTTTTTTTGCCTGTGCCTTCACTGAAGCGTGGACTTGTTTCTTTAGTACTGTTGGTTCTGGATGATATGCTACCTCATGAAATAGTTGAATATCAAGCAATTCTTTTTGGTACAGTGACTCTGTGTATTCCTTCCATCTTCTTTGGATGCTTCCTACATCATTCAGTATTTTGCCCATGTTGTTGTTGTTGTTGTTATTTGCCGTCGAGTTGGCCCCGACTCATAGCGACCCCTCCTTGGGTTTCCGAGGCAGTATCACTACCGAAGTAGGATTGCCCAACCTTCCTTCATACAATCCTTCAATATTGCAACTCAAGGCTTGGATATTTTCCTCAGTTCTTTCAGCTTCAGTACAATATTACCAAATATGTGGTGCATATTTTACTAGTGGTATGTTGGGGTCCCTGGTGATGCAGATGGTTAACATGCTGGGTTGCTATCCCAAAGGTTGGCAGTTTGAGTCCATCCAGAGCATCCCAGAGGAAAGGTCTGACGATTTACTTCCAAAAAATCAACCATAAAATCCTATGGAGAACAGTCCTCTGACACACATGGGCTTGCCATAAGTCAGAGCCAACACAATGGCAATTGATAACTGGAAATCTTCAGCACAATCCCAAACACACTGCCGTGGAGTTGGATCCAACTCATAGCGACCCATTTTATGTATGAAGGCTCAGGGAAGTTAACTATCTTACCTAACTTGGTAACTTGCAAATGGAGCCAGAACTTGAACACAAACCCTCTGACTTCCAATTCACAAGTTATCTTGAAAATAACTTAGTGCACATCAGTAAGGCTGAATCCATATGGGTGAATGTCACTGCATTTGCTCAGCCCAACCACCAAGAAGGAAGCCCTCTCCTGACATTAATGAGCCTGCAAATCAATGTCATTTCAGCATCTAATTTGCCTTAGGAAATGATCTCTAACCTTCAGTTATTTAAAAGAATAGTTCTCTTCCAAAGTCAATTACCACATTCATAAGAACTGTTATTCATATTAATTAGCTAATAGTTTAATTAATTTGCTTATTTAATAGATTGAGTTCCTGTCCTATTTGGGAACTGTGCTAGGCATCTAATCAAATAAATTTTGTTGTAAGTTTTTGACGATGGTGATAATACCTGGAAATTGCATAGCAGAATACCTGGCACATTAATAATTGGTAGCTACTAATCAGAGATGAATGAATAGATTGTGAGTACAGAGTATGTTTAGAATCAGATGTATCTAGTCTGGAATCCTAGTTATACATTATGTGACCTTGAAAAGAATCACATCTCCAAGTTTTCTCATTTGTAGAGATGGTAGAACAGTCTCTACTTTGCAAATTGTTATCAACATTAAAGATTGTGTATAAAGAGCATATATTACAGTAATTAAAATACAGTAGGTGCTCTATAAATGATAACTCATTCTTATGACATTTGAGTGCTAAACTGAAACTTTCAATAAGCTCAGTTTACATTACTACTAACCCACCAGCCACTCCTCGGAAGGAAGGTTGGGCAATCCTACTTCCGTAGTGATAACTGCCTCAGAAACCCAAGGAGGGGTCGCTATGAGTCGGGGCCGACTCGATGGCAAATAACAACAACAACAACAACCTTGCCTAGAATTTTATGCACAGGCTTCAAGGTTGAATCATCTACATTGAAGACCTTGGCTGGCAGGCGCACTAGGGCAAAGATTTCCACACTGAACTTTTTTGGGCCTTTTATTTTCCCCAGACTACACATGAGACTACAGGCTTCCACTTGCCAGTTACTAAAAAAAATGATGTTTATTGGATTTTCATAAGAAAATAGTCACAGTCTCAAAGACTATGTCAGCTTCCTAACCCACTTGGTGTGTTTCAAAACCTGAGGATGATTCCTCTGTATCTCTCCAAAACAGCCTAATACTGTTAACACAGTGCCAGATTCATGTTGAATGAATGTGTGCCTAAGGGAATCTGTAGGTTGGGGTATTGCTTCCTCAAGTTATCTACTGATAGCAATGCTTACCTGAGCAGATGACTTCAAAGGCGAGGGAACAAAGGTATTAGAGAATAGAATTAGGTATCGTAATCAAATTAAACTCCCATGGGCGATGATTGTGGATACAAGTAAAATGAAATCCTTAACAATTTCAATCTTTTCTCCATTTATCATGATGTTGTTTATTGGTTCAATTGTGAGGATTTTTGTTTTCATTTGTTGAGGTGTAATCCATACTGAAGACTGTAGTCTTTGATCTTCATCAGTAGGTGCTTCAAGTCTATTTAATTTTCAGCAAGCAAGATTGTGTTCATATCACAGTTGTTAGTGAGTCTTCCTCCAATCCTGATGCTATATTCCTCTTCAAAGATCCCAGCCTCTCATATTATTTGCTCTGTGTATGCAGATTGAAAAAGCATGGTGAAAGGATACAACCCTGACACACACCCTTCCCGATTGGAAACCATGCAATATCCCCTTGTTCTGTTCAAATGACAGCCACTGATCTATGTACAAGTTCCTCTTGAGAACAATTATGTGTTCTGGAATTCCCACTCTTCATAATGTTATCCAGAATTTGTTATGATCCATACAGTCAAATAACTTTGCATAATCTAGTCAATGAAACACAGGTAAATATCCTTTTGGTATTCTTTTCTTTCAGCCAAGATCCATCTGACATCACCAATGATATTCCTCATTCCATGTCCTCTTCTGAATCCAGCCTGAATTTCTGGAAGTTCTCTGTCAATATACTACTTCAATCATTTTTTAAATTATCTTCAGCAAAATTTTACTTGCATGTGATATTAATGATACTTTTTGATAATTTCTGCATTCTGCTGGATTACCTTTCTTTGGAATGGGCACAAATATGGATCTCTTCCAGTCAGTTGGCCAGGTAGCTGTCCTCCAAATTTCATGGAATAAATGAATAAGTGCCTCCAGCACTGCATCTGTTTGCTGAAACATCTCAATGGGTATTCTGTCAATTCCTGGAACCTTGTTTTTCACCAATGCCTTCATTGTAGCCTGAACTTCTATCTTCAATACCATTGGTTCTTGAACATATGCATCCTCCTGAAATGGTTGGACATCAACCAATTCCTTTTGATACAGCGACTCTGTGTATCCCTCTTGATGCTTCCTGCATCATTCACTATTTTTCCCATAGAATCTTCAATATTGCAATTCAAGGCTTGAAATTTTCTTCAATTCTTCCAGCCTGCAAAGTGCCAAGCATGTTCCTCTGTTTTGATTTTCTAACTTTAGGTCTTTACACATTTCATTATAATACTTTGTCTTCTCGAGCCACCCTGTGAAATCTTCTGTTCAGCTCTTTTAATGTCATCATCTCTTCCATTTGCTTTAGCTATTCTCTATTCAAAATCAAGTTTCAGAGTCTCTTCTGACATCCATTTTGGACTTTCCTTCCTTTCTTCTTTTGTTAATGACCTTTTTCTTTCTTCATGCATGATGTTCTTGATATCATCCCACAATTTATCTGGTCTCCAGCCATTGGTGTTCAGTGCATCAAATTGATTCTTCATGTGGTTTCTAAATTTAGGTTGGATATAATCAAGATTATATTTTGGCTCTCATGGACTTATTTAAATTTTCTTCTGCTTCAACCTGAACTTGCAAATTAGCACTTGATGGTCTGTTCCATAGTCATCTCCTGGCCTTATTTTAACTGATGGAATTGAGCTTCTCCATCACCTCCTTCCACAGATGTATTCTATTTAATTCCTGTGTATTCCATCTGGCAAGGTCCACATGTATAATCCCCTGTTTATGTTGTTGAAAAAAAAAAAGTATTTCAAATGAATAAATTGTTGTTCTTGCAAAATTATATCATGCAGTCTCTTGCATCACTTTTATCAATGTGGCTGTATTTTTCAACTACTAATGCGTCTGCTTTGTTTCCAACTTTTGCATTCCAACCACCAGTAATTATCAATACATCTTGATTGCACACTTGGTCAGTCTCAGACTACAAAACTTGGTAAAAATCTTTAGTTTCTTCATCTTTGGATTCAGTGGTTAGTGTATAAATTTTAACAATAATAGTATTAACTGGTCTTCTTTGCAGGCATATATGGATACTATCCTATCACTGACAGCATTGTACTTCAGGAGAGATCTCGAAATGTTCTTTTTGATGATGAATACACTACCATTCCTCTTTAATTTGTCATCCCAGGCATAGTAGACCATATGATTGTCTGACTCAAAATGGCCAACTCCAGTCCGTTTCAGCTCACTAATGCTGGGATGATCTTTATGCATTCCATTTCATTTTTGACAACTTCCAATTTCCTTAGATTCATACTTTATACATTCCACATTCTGATTATTAATGGATGTTTTCAGCTTTTTCTTCCTCTTTTGAGTCCTATACCATCAGCACATGAAGGTAGTGCAGGCTTTACTCCATCTGTTTCATTACATCAACTCTACTTTGAAGAGACAACTCTTGCCAGTCATAGTTTGAGTGCCTTCCAACCTCAGGGGCTCTTCTTCTGGCACTATATCAGAAATTGTTTCACTGCTATTCATAAGGTTTCAGTGGCCAATTTTTTCAGAAGTGCATGACCCCGTCCTTCTTCTCAGTCTGTCTTAGTCTGGAAGCTCCACTGAAACCTATCCACCATGGGTCACCCTGCTGGCATTTGAAATGCTAGTGGCATAGCTTCCAGCCTCACAGCAACACATAAGCCACCACAGTACAACAAAGTGACACATGAGTGGTAGCAATAAGCATTATTATTATTATAAGTATTACACTATATCAGAAAAGTTTAGTGATTGAGAGCACGGGCTTTCGAGTCAGACTGCTTGGTTTTGGAACCTGCTCTGATAATTACTAGGAGCTCTGGTAGCATAGTGCCTAAGGCACTTGACTACTAACCAGAAGGCTTGTGGTTCAAACCCACCAGCCATTCCTCAGAAGGAAGGTTGGGCAATCTACTTCCACAGTGATACTGCCTCAGAAAGCAAAGGGGGGGGGTCGCTATGAGTTGGGTCCAACTCCATGGCAAATAACAACAACTGCCAATTACTAGCTGTGTGATCTTGGGCAAGTTCCTTAACCTCTCATGACTCAGTTTTACAGATCTACAGAATGATGATGATAATTGTACTTACTTTATTGTATTTCTGTGAGGATTAAATGAGTATATGTAAATAACATGCTTAGAAAAGAGTTCATTGATTGTAATCAGCCAGTAAATGTTAGATTGTTATTCTCTTCCAACTGAAAATGCTCTTTTTTGTTTCCATCCTCATTCCATGTGAGCTTTATAATAGCATCTCAGTAAAGTATAGAGGGCAAGGAACTTTTGCCCCACAATGTAGTTTGTTGTTTTTGCTCCCACCACTCAGCAGACACCATATGGTCCCTAGGCTCTTCAGGGACTGCCCGACTGCCAGATTTGTGGCTCAGCAGAGGCCTAGACTTTGTTCAGCCCATCAGTGTCCAGTCTGATCACTGCCTCTGTCCTTCCTTTCCAGGTTTCCGCAACTTGCATGTGGATGACCAGATGGCAATCATTCAGTATTCGTGGATGGGACTTATGGTGTTTGCTATGGGCTGGCGATCCTTCACCAATGTCAACTCCAGGATGCTCTACTTCGCTCCCGATCTGGTTTTCAATGAGTAAGTGCTCCTAGGTCCAGGCCTCATATAAGCAGAGCAGCCTGTCCAGGCCTGGATAGTGGTGGTAAGGGTGGTAGGGGTAGTGGGTTAAGGAATAACTCATTTGATATACAGGTGAGGTAATGGAAGCCCCAGACAGCCAGTCCAATCTGAGATGGTTTTGCCTGAGCTGGAAGATAAATTGCTGGAAAGTGATGAGAGGGGGTGCTGCTGCTGCTGCTGCTGCTGCTGCTGTTGCTGAAGCCATTCCTTTCCCTGGTATTTTGGCTACTTCTGATCTGCTTTGTGGTTTATGTCAGAATTCCATGTAAAGGCCCCTCCCTTTTACTTTGAAAAACATAGGAAAGGAGTAGAGATAGTCTGGCTGTGAGGGCTGAAATTCCTTTGATTCCTTTTCAATCACTGAGAGTTCCTGCTAGCCATCATTTGTTGAGCAAATACTATGTGTCAGTACTAGGTAGATACTTTCTTTTATAACAGCTTGATGGGGTAGCAACTGTAATCCTCCTTTTCTCTTTAGATTGTGATGAAATATATACATAATAAAACATACACAATCTCAGCAATTTCTATGGTACATGTAAAATTAAGTGACATTGATGTAATTCAATTTTTAGGGGGCTGAGGAAAGTAGTGTTCAGTAAGAAGCAGCAGCTTGCCTAAGATTGCACAGCTAGGGAGTGTTGCAGCTGGAATTCAAATTTAGAACTCCTTTGCTCCAACTCTAGGATCCTGCCCATGAAGAATCAGAAGACCTTAACTTTCTGGGTAGTTCTAATGGCACTGCAGTGTTCCTAGCTCCCAAGAGTTTTGAATTCCATGTTACCCTTACAATTTTTAACTTGAAGATTTTAACCAGCACACTATCTCCTGCCTTTAGATCGTGTTAGACACAGCCTCAAGATCTCTGGTTGTTTTTGTGGCTTTCCTCTTTCATCCTTATTCCAAATGCACAGGACACTTTTTACAAGGGAGAGAAGAATCACATATTGATTAAATATGTCCCCAGCTCCTAGTACAGGGTCTGATATGGAGGAGGAATGCAAGTAGTATTAGTTTGCTACAACTGGAGGCTACTGCTAGCCATTATTTGTTGAGCAACTATTTTGTGCCAGAACTACGCTATGTACTTTGTAAATGTCATCTCAGTGAGTCCTCATGGAAACCAAAGAGATTTTTCCTTTTTATAGACAATCCTGTTTTTATGGATGAGAAAAGGCAGGCTCAGCAAAATAAACTGACTCTCCCAAGGTCACACAGCTAGTGCATGTTGGAGGCAAGATTCAAGTGTATGTTTGTGAAATTCCAAGGTCCTTTATTGTCTCACGATGGTAATTGATGGGGAGGAGAAGTTCCACTACTCTCTGTCTGTGTGACCTTGGCCTAGTCATTTCCTTTCTGTTAGAAACAGGTTTAATTAATGCCTGCCCTGCTGCCAGCTCTATCCTTTATGAATTAGACAAGAGATAAGATTTTGGAATTATACTTTTCTGGACAAAAACCTCAGCTCTACTATCTCCTACATCTATTTCTTGGAAGAAGACCTTTAACTTCCTTCTTCTGTTAATAACAATAACTGTTAGAGCTCCGTCGGCACTCAACGACCACACCACACACCAGGGTACCCAACAGGAGATTTTATTAAGGAGGCAAAAGGGCGCCTGCACTGAGGAAGGACAGAAGAAGAAGAGGAGGAAGAAGAAGAGGAGAAGAGGAAGAAGAGAAGAAGAAAGAAAGAGGAAGAAGGGAAGAAGGGGAGAGAGGAAGAAGAGGAAGAGGAAGAGCAGGGGAGAAGGTGGTCTTATATAGACCTGGGGTTAGGAGGTTGTACATCAGAGCTGGGGGAAGAGGTCTTAAGCTATCAGAGGCTATGTTGCCTTTTAAAATTTGCGCCTTGCAGGAAGCTCACTTTCGACTTCCTTTAACTAACTTATGACCTTGGGTGGGGCAGCAGGGAATGAAGAAGAACCCGGAAGAGTCACGCAAGATGGCGTGGCATATCTCTAACAATAACGAAATCCAAACTTATTGCTGTGGAGTTGATTCCAACTCATGGCAACCCTTTAGGAAAGAGTAGAACTGCTCCATAGGGTTTCCAAGGCTGTAATCTTTATGGAAGCAGACTGCCACATCATTCTCCCATAGAATGAATAGTGGGTTTGAATAGCCAACCTTTTGATCAGCAACCGAGTCTTCAACCACAGTGGCACCAGGGTCCCTTTTTAAATTGTATATTGTGATGAGTAAATTGGAACTCATGGATGAAAAATCCTGACCCATAGTAGACAAAATACAAAAGAACTCCCTTTCTGATATGCCCTAATACCAATAATACACTTCTCTAATACCAATAATCTTCTTATGTCTGCTGTTTAAGGTCCCTCTATGGAGTTGTGAATGGAGCTGGCCAGAAAAATCTTCCCAAGGAATTTGAGCCAGTCTCACCACAGAGAATCCCTTTTGTCAGGGAAGGAATTGACCTCCCCTCCCCTCCACCCCTCTAACCCAGAAGAGGCTTAAAATAAAATCTACAGGGCAGTGGTTCCTTCCAGTACCGCTATGCCATGTGGGGGAAAGTGAGTGTCCCCAGCTGCCCTCTCCCAACCCAGCCAGCCTTGGTAGTTAGAAGTTAAGAATAAACTCTGGACTTTTGGCATAACCCGCTCTGTGGTTTCCAGGCTTCCAAAGAGTTACCTATGATACCATCATCTGGAACAGGCCTTGCATGTCTCCATTCCTGGTTATTTTGATCTCCTACCCACACTCTAATGTGTCCTTGAGTGTTTGAGGACACCTATACCAGCTTTCCTAGAACCATGAAGTTTTGAGGGCTTTGCAAGGTGATAATTGGCTGTTTTCTAAGTCTTAATTTCCTTCTCTGCTTCTGAATTAGTACGTGACACCCCACCACCACTTTCTGAACCTGTACCATCCACTTTATTCAAAGGCACCATAAGGTCTAGGGGCTAGCCCACCAACTCCAAGGGCTCCCAAAACAACAAGCTCCCTTCTTTTTATAGGAACTTACTAATTAGAACTCTCACAGTACCTACAAACATCTAGACCAGTGTTTCTCAACAGGAATGCTGCTGACATTTTAGGAGGAATAGTTCATTGTGTAGGATGGTACTGAGCATTAGAATATGTTTAACATTCTTGGCCTGTCCACTAAATAATAAATAGGACCTTAGTCACTGTGACAACTCAAACTGTCCCTACACATTACTACCACCCACTTATGAGGCAGCACCACTCCAGTTGAGGCTCTCTGATCAGGAGACTGAGGCCCCAAGAGAAAGACAGATACTTTTCCAAGTTGAACCAACTCATTTGCTGATCCCTCTGACACCAAACTGTCATCATCCCTGCTTCTTCCTTTCCTCCCTCCTTTGTGGAGAGCTCATGTTGTTGCAGTAATGGGTTTGAACTCTAGTTGTATAATCTTGGATAAATTGCTGAACTTCTCTGAGCCTCAGTCTCCTCATCTGTAGAATGGTGAATAGAATCATAATGTCATTTGCTGAGCACCTACTATATGCCAGGTGCTGTGTTCAGTGCTTTGCAATCATCATTGCCCCTCTCATCCACTCTCCTTTATTCCACCTATCCTTGCTCTTTCTGAATCCCATTCTTTTCCTTCCTTTTCTCCCCTGTCTTCTCCTCTCATTTTCTTTTCTTTAACTCTCCCCCTATTCTCTTGTGACCTTTTCTCCCCTTTTCTTCTCCGTTCTGAATCATTTCCTTTGTTTCTCCTCCTACTCTCCTCTCTCCACCTTCTTTCTACTTGGGACCTGCGGCAATGTTACAGCAATCCTCCATGCAGGGACTTGCTTTCAATTGTAAAAAGACTACAGTGTTGTCATCAACAGAGGATTGGGGGAATACAAGGGAGACTGAGCAGGGCCAGGTCCCAGGGTTAACAGATCTTACTAAAAGTTTTTCTAGGTGAAAGACCTTCAGGCAACACTGTTCTGGTCAATTGACTTGTGATAACTATGTAAACACTCTCTTTCCAGTCAGGCCTTAGCCTGAATACATCTACACCAACTCCCTCCTTCCAGGCTTTGCTCATCCTTTAGTCCAGGCTAGTAGTTTTGGGAACAAAACGGCAAAGCACAGTCTTCAAATCCATTCCAGGAGGTCTCTGTCATCATGATTATTGTATGGGTGTGAAATTCCCTTCCATTTCTCTGCATGCTATGATATCAGTTTCTGACACACACACACACACACACACACACTTGGCTTCTGAAGTTCGAAAACCCAGGAAGGCCTGGTGGCCCAAGAAGCAGGAAGATGCTATATCTTCTATCAGAGGTATATTAGGTATGTCATGGCCAGTCATACAGAGAGGTTGCTCCTCCCTGAGAAGGCTGCCCAAACCTTGCTCATTTATTCATACCATTTATAGGAGTTAATGTGATAATATGATCACAAATTACTATAATTAAGTATCTAACACATGTTTAAGCTCCTCACTTGTGACAAGGAATGGCCAGATTATGAAGAAGTGGGCTTCCCTTCAGTTGTTGTTGTTGTTGTTAAGTGCCGTTGAGTCGTTTCCGACTCATAGCGACCCCATGCACAGTAGAACGAAACACTGCCCGATCCCTTGCCAGCCCCACAATCTCTGCTATACTTGAGCTCATCATCGCAGCCACCGTGTCAATCCATCTCGTTGAAGGCCTCCCCCTCTTTCGTTGACCCTCCACCCTACCAAGCATGACATCCTTCTCCAGGGAATGGTCCCTTCTGACAACATGATGAAGTCTGGCCATTCTTGCTTTCAAGGAGCATTCTGGCTGCACTTCCTCCAGGACAGATCTGTTAGTTCTTTTAGCAGTCCATAGTACTTTCAGCATTCTCCGCCAGCACCACAACTCAAAAGCATCAACTTTTCTTTGGTCTTCCTTATTCATTGTCCAGCTCTCACATACATACGAGGTGATTGGAAATGTCATGGCTTGTGTCAGGTGCACCTTAGTCCTCAAGGAGATATCCTTGCTCCTCAGCACTTGAAACAGTTCCTTCGCAGTTGACTTTCCCAATGCTACACATCGTCTAATGTCCTGAATGCTGCTTCCGTTGACATCAATTGTAGAACCAAGCAACGTGAATTCTTTGACAACCTCAATCTTCTCTCCATTTATTGTGATGCTGCTCATTGGTCCAGTTGTGAGGATTTTTGTTTTCTTTATATTGAGATAAAACACACACCACACTGTATTCTTCAACCTTCATCAGTAGGTGCCTTAAGTCATCCTCACTTTCAGCAAGCAAAGTTGTATCATCTTCATATCTCAGGTTGTTAATGATTCTTCCTCCAATCCTGATACCACGTTTTTCTTCATATAGTCCAGCTTCCCTTCAGTAGGCATCATTTAGTTTAGATATTCATTTATTAGACTTGGGAAGCATTGGAATTCATTTTGAAAAGGTAATGTGGAATCTCTTCCCCTGAGAGGTTTTAAAGAAATGATTAAGTTTCTAATACAGGAAATGGCATTCAAAGCAAGATAAAGGGTGATTGACAGGTTGAACACCTGTGTTATTGTTGTTATGTGCCGTCGAATCAGACCTGACTCATAGCGACCCCTCCTTGGGTTTCCGAGGCAGTGTCACTACAGAAACAGATTGCCCAACCTTCCTTCCAAGGAGTGGCTGGTGAGTTTGAACCGCCAGCCTTCTGGTTAGCAGTCAAGTGTGGTATGTGAGAATCCTGATATCCTTATATTAAGAGCTGATTTCTATGGCCTTTTCCCTAGAGATCCTCCAAGTTGGGCTGTCTGAGAAGCAGGTCTTATCTCTAACTATAGCTAGAATATTACAGCTGTAGTCAGGGAGACCATATGCCTGTTCATTTGGTTAGGGTTTCCTGTCCCAGTTTCAGGAAACAAGAAGGGCAAGAAGACCTGGAAATTCCATGTACTAACCCATATCCTTCCCATAGGGGATAAATAATTATCAGAATGTCAGGATTTTTGAAAAAGAGGGGGAAAAAAGGAGAAGGAAAAAAAGGGGGGGAGAAGAACAACCGTGATCCTTGTCATTAAGGCAGCAGCAGAAGAAACAGTAGGCTCTTTTTAGAGAACCTGGAGAGGGGAGGGCAACCAGAGGAGTTCCTTCTGGCATTGTTTTAAGCCTCCTAGTCACTCCTCTTCTTCCTCTGTGTTTCTTCTTCCTAGGTACCGCATGCACAAGTCCCGGATGTACAGCCAGTGTGTCCGAATGAGGCACCTCTCACAAGAGTTTGGATGGCTCCAAATCACCCCCCAGGAATTCCTGTGCATGAAGGCATTACTGCTGTTCAGCATTAGTAAGTGCCTGGAGGGACAATTAGTGCCCCTGGAGACATGAAGACTCAGACGAGAAGTGGGCTGTTTCTACCATTTTTAAAAAGGTTATCAATTGAAAAGCCAGCCCCTGGAAATCTCCCAATTTGTTCCCTTTCCCAATCTCACTGTTCCTCAGCACTTTTTTTCCTAACAAAGACCAATTTCATGGATAGAGACCATTTCTTTGCTAGAATTCACCTTCCACCCCTACCTGCCCTTTGATCTTTGGGATCCAAGGTCATTTTGACCAGTTGTAACCAATCTGGGAGTTTTCCCGTAGCTTCTGTTTCCTATAGGAAACAGGCTAGAACCACCTTATACCTCCTTGCAAGGAAATAGAACAAGAGGGATGCCTCCTTGAAGGAATCTTCTCTTCTGCCAATAGTACAATAGTAGGAGGTCTATGTAAGCAACTCAAACCAAAAAGAAAAATCAAACCCTTTATTATACAGTTTATTCTGACTCATTGATCTTATAGGATACAATAGAACTGCCCCTTAGGGTTTGCAAGGTTATACATCTTTGTGGAAACAGGCTGCTGAGTACTTAACCCCTGTACCACCGGGGCTCCTTGTTAGCAACTCATACAGGGTTTATTTGGCAGCCAAAGAACCTTTCTTTAATGTCTCTTCTAAGCAGAATGCTGTCTTAGTCTCTGTGAGGGAGAAAGGAGAAAAAATTTGATATTCAAAGCCATGTGTTTTAATTGTCTAAATTAGGGCTGGACTATGGACAAGATATAATCATAAGTCCTGAAAAAAAAAGGGTAAATGAGAAAACTAAGAAAAAGTTTTCACAAATTTTATTTACCTGATTTCCTTTTGATTAAGTCCAGCTAGCCTTTTCCCAAGACCTCCCTCGCAGCCTGAAAGCATAAGGCACACAGACTTCAGCTGACAGGAAGCCAAGTAGATAGTTCCCTCCCTGTGGGGTGACAGTCAAGTTTGTTGTCAGAAACCTTAGTGCTTTTTCTAATGTTCCTTCCTGGGCATGCTTTCTTTCTCCATTCTGTCTTCATCCTATGTCAGTTCCTGTGGATGGGCTGAAAAATCAAAAATTCTTTGATGAACTTCGAATGAACTACATCAAGGAACTTGATCGTATCATTGCATGCAAGAGAAAAAATCCCACATCCTGCTCAAGGCGCTTCTACCAGCTCACCAAACTCCTGGACTCTGTGCAGCCTGTAAGCAAAAGATGGAGGGTGCTTTGTCAGGGAAAGTAACCTGATAGAGCCAAGTGATAACATGCTCCTCTGGGCTCTGACAACATCTGTTAGGAGGTGCTTCCATCACTCTCTGGCTTTGAGTGTGGTCCAGAAAGAAAACACAGTGGAAAAGAAAGGAACACAGGTCACAGTGTTCCAGCTGGATGTTGTGAAAGAGGTGGAGGAGTTGAGAACCGAGAAGTTGGGACTCAGGAAAGGGGTTTAGAGCAGATGAGTCCTCTAGACAGATAAAACAGACTTGAGTGTTTTTCGCCTCTCCCTGAGTCATGTGTGTGTGTGAGTTTGTGTGTGTGTGTGTTGGGTAAGAGGAACACCTAGTCCTGAGTCAGAGAACTTGCAATAGTGTAAAAGATCTCTTGGGAGCCCTCAATCACTCCCTTGAGACTATTTAACACAGAGACACACAATCTCATGAGAGAGGGCCAAGGGACGGGGGTGGAAATAAAAGGAACAGGAATCAGAGGTGGGGGGAGATCCTAGCAGAAGCCAACTCTTCATCAACCCTGTGCTCTCCTTCTTTTATTCCCCTTGCAGATTGCACGAGAGCTGCATCAGTTCACTTTTGACCTGCTAATCAAGTCTCACATGGTGAGCGTGGACTTTCCGGAAATGATGGCAGAGATCATCTCTGTTCAAGTTCCCAAGATCCTTTCTGGGAAAGTCAAGCCCATCTATTTCCATACACAGTGAAGCTTTGAAAGCCCCCATTGCTACACCCACCCCACTCCCCTTTTCAAATGTATTCTGCCTGTTATAATTCTGCACTACTTCTCTGCAGTGCCTTGGGGAATTTCCTCTATTGATGTATACAGTCTGTCATGAAGATGGTCTTTAGTTCTATTTGCTGGGCTTTTTCCCCCCTCTCTTCCTCCTTTTCTCCCTATCCAACCTTCCCATGGGTCATGCATCTTCAGATACTGTTCCCTACCATGACTTCTATCTATATTTTGAATAGTGCTATATTTCTTCAAATCTGTGATAGTACTCCCATGGCCTAGTGTCAAGTTGTGCTTGTTTACAGCACTGTGCTGTGTGCCAGCCACACAAATATTTACTCACCTAATGCCACAGGAGATTTAGAGAGCTAAGGGTATTTGGGGAAAAAAAAAAAGTTTTTCTAAAAAATCTTTACTAGGGTTTTTTTGCTCTTAAAAAATATAAAGACAAGCAAATAGAAACCCTCAAGGAGGCCAACACTAATGAAAAGAAATTGAAAATGTAGGCCCATGGGGAGTCACTGCTTTTTTTTTTTCCCCCAACACTTCCCTCCCTGGGAAACTTTTCTTCCTGTGAATAATTATTGCAATTAGAGGGTGAGGTGACCATAAATCTGAGTTTGCTGGGGGGGATAGAGTAGAGAAGACAAGGAGGCAGATGGATCATGAGTACCTGCCCACAGTCTTGACCCCTGAGGTCTAAACTGCTCAAATGCAGGGTACTTCATTATACTGAAAATGTGCTTCTTGTTTGAAAACTCGTCTGTATGTGAATGCCCCCCCCCATCTCTTTTATCTGTCACCCTCTGCTTCCGCCCTCAAATCAGCTTTCAATAGCTTCTAAGAGCTTTGAACTGAATGTTCTCTTTACTAAAAGTTGGCCACTTCCCCCTGAAGATTCACACCAGCAAAAAGGAGGAGAGGAGAGATTTAATTTTTTTAAAGGCCCCATTTGGATCCAGGTCTGTTTTCCCCTACATAGACCAGGGAGTCAGAGAAGGAAGTGGTGACTTGGCTGTTCCCCTACTTAAGACACTGAATATTTGATCTCGTACTTCCACCACCTTTGTTCCTCTAAAGATCCTGAAAGAATTTGAAGCTTTCTACCTAACTCCATGCAGCCACAACTCTTTCCATCTTCCTTTCAGTGTTTCATGGCCTGAACTTAACCAGATTGCATTTCAGCAGTGGTGGTAAAGCATGTTCATTTCTATGGGCATATCAACTGACAGATCACTGGAAAGAAAGCATCAAAGGGATTGGACTAGCTGGGCATTTTGCCCTCTCCTCCCCCCAGAAATTATGTCCTCCCACCAAGTGGAAAGATGCTCACTTCCTCCTTCAGAACAGCAAAAGGGGCTTCCAGGGCTGCAGAGACAACTCAATTCCCAGGGTGGGAAGTATGAAGGCACTAAAACCAAAAACACTATAAATACTCCCCTTGCTATCCAGAATATCTGCCTGTAAATGCCATGTGAACCTGGGAGAAGAAACCAAGAAGAGACTCTGACTAATAAGTTAAAGTCTTCAGAGTAAAAACCTAATGCCAGATGGGCACCATCTGGTGATTACATTCATCATCCTCTATTGCTGATGCTGGGCTCTGGTATTGGCCATACTCACTCAGACTCCCCACCATTTTTGCTGTCTCTCAGTCAGAGGAATGCTGAAACATTGAGACTTTCTACAAAACCATGGCCTTCTTTGGAAAGGTCTGATTTGTATGGCTAACGAGGATGACACCAATGGATTCTGTGTGCTCCTGGGACACTGGTTTTGTATAGCCTTTTGGCATCCTTCTGTTCTGCTGATTTTCTCTCCCAGCCCCAAGGGCAGGGGGTATATCCACCAACTTTCTCACCCTGGCCATTGCCTCCTCACTTATACCTTAACATCATTTGTTAAGCTTAAAAAATCAGGGCCAGTCACTAAGCTTCCCACTTCAGTTGGGTTACTCTACTTGCTGTCAAGATAGTATCTGAATGACATGATCCACATGGGTTTTCTACCCTGATTTCTGTGCTGATATTAATAGCCAAATGAACTTACAAAACAGCTCTTTAAATAACAAGGGAGGGGGGAACCTAAATGGATGATATGCCAATCCAAGACTACTGGACAAAACTAAAGCTGACAGGTTCCCTTTCTACAGTAAGATAGACAAATTCTAGTTTTCTTTGTCATGACACCACCTGGCTATATAAGCTCACAGGATTAGTTTTAGCTATTGTTACAGAAACACACACACACTTCTTTCATTTTGAACTAGACTACATTTTAATAGTTATTTCATATCTGTTTTGAAATGATTTTCATCTTTTGAGAACATTAATTTGATTATATCATTCTAATACCTCTCTTTGTAAATACTAGAGGCACTCTTTTCCATTTCTTTATCAAATTTTTCATCTTTATGAATTTCCAAATCATGAGTCTTGTCTTTATAAATATATACATTTATCATTTGTGAAAGCCAAAAATCAGTGAACAGCAGTGTAATTAAAAGCAGCAACAACTGGATTACTCCAAATTTACAAATGGCAAGACCAGTGGGGAAAAAAACTGTTTATGCACTGAGGTTTCAGTGGGCAAAGGAGATTTTAGCTTGGCTTTGTTCTCTCAGATAAAAAGGAGGAGAGTTTTATTTTGTTTTAGCCATTAATGTTCTAGCCTATGTAATTGTCCTCTGGAGAGAAGATTCATTTCACATGCCCTTGGCTCTACAACCAGATGATGTGGTTGGTACACTGCGCTCACCCATAAAGAACCAGCCACTCAGACTCTCTCACCTGTTGAGCTGGAAGATGAGGATAACTCACAGGACAAGTCACAGGGACTGTCTCCAAAAAGGTTTGCAGTGCTGGATGGGGATGAAGAATGAAGAAGATTAAAAGAAGAAGCACCAGAGAGAAGGCCCCGTCTGTACCAGGCAGCAGACAGCTGTCAGAGTCACAAACTCTATGGTCAAAGAAAATATTCGTGTGGCAGTTTCAGCTCTTATGCATTGAGCAGCTGGTCCAAAGCCAGCCTCTGAGCTGAAATGGAGATTGGATTCTTTGTTCCATAGCTTTGTTATGCCACAGACAGTATCATTGTTCTTTAGAGAGTTTATTAATTTTTTAAAATTATCTTACTCTGAGAAAGAAAATTTTTAAGGATTCTGTCATATATCTTTGAAAAAAGAAAATCAGTAATACATATATTTTTGTGTATGTTCACTGGCACTAAAAATGGGGGGGAAAAAAGGAGTTTCACTCTGTCCTTTGGGTAGTTGCAGAGGTAATTGTCCAGGTAGAGAAATAATATGCTGATGCTAGAGTCCCTCTCTGTTCATACTCTGTTTCTAAATGCATATATACATATATAGCAAGACATATTCTGCTTGTACCTAAAGATAAATAGGTCTACCATCCACAAAATACTGATACTACACAAATGACCTAACTTTAAGCTTCACGTGGCTTTTAAGCGATTGTTTCTTTGGGAAGAGCACAGACATGGCCTTGCCCCCTTCTCTCACTTGAAGTTCAATAGGGCACAATGGTCCAAGTTACTCTCTCTGCTGCTTCCCATCCCTTGTGCCAGTACTGCACATCATTAGACTCTCTCCAGACAACCCAGTAACTATCCCTGCAGGGTCCAGAAAAACAAAAGACTGCTACTAACTATCCTGTGCCAATTGCCCAGGTGAAAGAACACTGATCCAAGGGAGTGATTTTCATGCTTCACTCCTATGGGGGGGGGGGGACCTGGAATGCTGAAGCACAGGATCAAATCCCGAACTCAAAGCCAAAATAGTCATTTAGCATGTGCAGTTTCTTGTAAAAAGTTTCTACCCCTGCTGCCTTTTATAGGCAAGTCTGTTCTCACCACTGATCTCTTTGGAAATCTTTGAGATCAGAAAAACAAAGAGAAAGAGAGAGATGAAAGCATCACATTATGTCACCAAAGATTACACCGTACCTGCTAAGATACCAAAATTTTTAAGGGCAGAGAGGGCTCAAGCATTAGTGCCTCTTTGGTAAGCTATCCAAAGACAGACTGAAGGACTTTGCTGGTGACTGACTTCTTAGAGTTTTGTGGGGTTTTTCCTCCACAGTAGACATATTTAGAGAAGTTGAAGATATTTTGGGAAAAATGGGATTATCGGTCCTTCACTAAGTGATTTTATAAGCAAAACTAGCTTTCTGTTTTTGTAGTAGATACTGAGCAAATTATTGAAGCTCCATTATTGCATGGTTGGAAATGGAGTTGGTCTTGGCCAGTGTGTTTTCTAGTGCCCACGTTAGCTCATCTGAAGATGTGAAGCCTTTGCTGAGAAGGGAGCATCTAAAGGACTAGATTTTGCACTTAGAGGGACAGCAGGCAGAAATCCTCATTTCTGCCCACTTTCGACAGCACAAAACTATTCTGCAGGTTAAGGCAGAAGGCTGAAATATATTGTAAATGAGTAATTGTATCAGTGTATTGAAATTGAATTATATAGAGAGATATAATGTGTTCTGATAGCTTTACCTTTCTCTGCACCTTTATATTTGTTTCCAGGTCATAACCATTACCATGCACTTGTGAGAGAAGCTCTCTCAGAATGGACACATGGTTTGATCAGATAATTAGGAGATCTCTGTCCCTATTGAGGCCTAACTCACAAGCTTTGCAAAGGGGCCGAGGGGGCAAAATGGTAGGGTACATGATGTATTGCACTTTACTAGCCAAGACGGATGAATGTAGAAAAGGTAGGGGAGACTCATTGGAAGCAACTGGGCTTTACCATAGGAAAGGACCAGACAGGGGGACCAAAATGATTGATCAGTGGCCCCCTAATGGGACCTGACTGGTTGAGAGAAGGGAGTTCCTCAAATTTCACCATGCTTTTAGGCAAAGGGACAATTTCCTGTGCTTGTGAACTTGGAGCAAGTGTTACATCTTTCACACAATTAAATCACATGCGTTAGAGGTGCTCTTGCTACTGGGTGTTTGTGTGCTCTAATTCTGGTTTGGGATATGTTCTGTAAAAAGTTTGACAAATGAAAAATTTTTTCTGTTAAAACATGTCAGTGCCTGTTAATAATAATAATAATAGACCTTTTTCTCAGTTGTATGTTATGATGACTAAATTAGA